AGTCAACATTCGGAATGCGTCCGCGCACTTAATTTTGTTTTTCACACAAAATTTGATACAGATTCTTTGATCCATTTTTTGGAATAGGCAAAAATCGAAGACGAGCCAAAACACGTGCAAGCAAAGCAGCTGTCAAAAATTAACTGAACATTCAAAATGGCCGAACTTGTCAGCATAAGTGAGAGACATGAGTACCAACATAACGCCACAAAAAAATCGAAAATCGAATATACGTAACCCGCGGAAATTCAAAATTCGCGATACTTTTTGAACAGACCTCATATATCCCTCAATTTCACTAACAGGGCTAACTCTACTTATATTCTTGAATTAAAGGATTAAAATCATGAAACGTAACAACTTATGCTGAAATCCTTCTTGTTTATTGGACGTCTCTTATTGTTTCTTTTTACATTTGACATTAACTATGTCATGTAGCTATTTATATTGTAAGCCGTAATAGTTGTAGCCGTTATTTACAGATCCCTTATAGTTTACAATAAAGATCGTCATCCTTAATACAAAATACCTAATACGCAGTCTTTTGAAGGTTAAGATGATAAGAGGGATTTACCTTCCTTGTTTTGAATACAACTTTATAGTAGTCAAGAAGAATTCAAGGATCTGATGGAAGATTTCGCTCGCAGAATGATGCGATGAAGTCGGTTTCAACATCCCACCAAGTCTACGATCTTTGCTTAGATGAAATGGTTGTTATTCAAGAAGGACGAAGATAGTATTGTGATGTCATATTCCAGATTCGAAGAGATGAGATAGTTTCAATTGGTCTAAAAGACTGGAGCCGCTTTGTGGAACGACGCTACTTTAAAATCTATATACTTGATGATGAGTTTTGCGAACTAGAGTAGCAAGTTGCCCCTGCAGATTAGCACACATCGGGCCTTTTCTACTAAAGGACATGTGGCCCCATCGAGCAAGAGAATTAATCAAAGGACTCCACATAATATCATAGGATTTTGGGCCTTGGTGAAATTGACTTAAATTTTAGTATGTTATAGTTTTTGACTCACTGATCAAAAGTGTCCAGACGCGCGTTTATATAAAAAAAAGTACAAAAAAATTGAAGTTTTATATGTGTGTGTTTGTGTACGCATCAATGGTACATTTATGATTTTAGTTTTTCGGAATTACTCGGAATGAACAATGTGGACGTAACAGGCGTTTTATTCCTTTGGAGTGCTTGATTTTCGTGAGTCCTCTTGCCTCTCATGTTTGAGATACTTGATATTTTTTATACATGGAGCTTCGCACGCGAAAACAAATATTCGGGTCGTAATAATTAAGCACTTCACACATGAAAGGTAAATGGACTCACGCATTTCAAATGCTACGCCTGAGAGGAGTCTAAAAATCTAGCAAAATCTAAATACATAATAAAAATGCGTGCGCAGGCGTATGTGTGTGGGAATAGGGATGGGCGTGGAGTGAGGATAAGGTTGGGAGATAATGAGAGTGGTTGGCATATTGTTATTTAAAATCTCTTGATTTATTATATAATAGAAATCTGATTTTGAGGCATTGATAAAATAAAACTTTAAAGAGCTACAACAAAAAACTAATAATTTTCAGACTTTGTGCCTATGGACACTTCTGATCAGTAAGTCAGGAACTATAACATATTAAAATTTTAGCTAATTTCACCGAGGGCCAAAATCCTATGATTTTATGCGAGGTCCTTTCTAATTGATTGACGCGGAGCGTGAATTAGCATCGTAAAAGACGTAGAAGAAGCAGCGGTAGTGAATTTACAAGTAAGGCATAAATATGGGACCGAAATGAAAAATGTTAAGGACATATTCATAGATTTAGAGCACGCATAGCATGCACAGAAGAAATGTTAGAACCTGTGGATCACTCAATTTAATAAGTCACATAGAAGTAGTATTAAGGCTAAAATTACGAATTGATAACCCAGTAAGGGAATACCGCCTACGTACTTCTGTATACATAATCATAAAAAAATATATAAATTTATATATATGTTGCAACCGCACTCACGTGGCGCAACTTCGTCGCGCATTCACAGCTAAGATTTTCTTATGCAATTGGATAACGGGTGACTTTAAACGAAACGCGACAGAAATGTGACTTCACGCGGCCACTCTTAAAGGCAACACACAATCGCAAAACAATAGTTGGGCGCCAGGCACGAGTGAGCGTGCCACTCTTTCTCGAAATTACGCGATATTTTTTCTATGCAATATTCTAACGAGCTGTGAACGTCGGGCTCTCAACCGGTAGCTCAACCTCGGAAATGGCAGAGGGGGCGGTTAGTGGTCGAGGATAGAGGATCGTTTGGAGAAGCGAATAGTGACGACAATAAAACACACAAGAATTAATAATAGCAGAAATAACAAGTATATTGTATAAGTCTTCGACTTTCATTTACATCTGCCGACAAAATTGTGGCGATAAGATCTGACTAAACGCGATAGCTGTTTCGCACAAGCCCCAAAATGTTTTACACGGTGCATACCAATTTCATTAGAATTCTGCGGCACGAGCTCACGCCATGCAAGGATACTTTCGCGAATTATGCGAACAATAATTCGCCGCTTCACCCGGCGATGGAATTTGATAAGGATTATAACATAAACACGGCGTGACCTCGTGCGCGCTCGCGGGGCTTCGCCACGCTCGACCGAAGGTCAGAGAAGGACAGAAGGCACAAAAACTTGACGCTACGCAATCTCAATATGATAGAATATGCGCAACTATTAATTACTATAACAAATTATCGTTAATTACTATGATACAGAGTGCCGATACTCTAAGAGACATGCAGATCTTACGCTGCAAAATTCCGAAACGACCAGATACGCCAATATTACAGTACGGACTTTGACACGATACGATACAAAAATGTGACACTCGACAAAAAAAAGTAAAGCTTACGATAAATGACGAGGCTGTGGCCTTGGCGGACGCAATAGAATTTCCCCGACTATGAATGACCGTCCCGGGAGGCGACACAATTATTCGAATTCCACGGAAATCTCATACACGACAATGCCACGTGCTTCACTACAATATATCTGGTCAGATCGCGTCAAGATTACGCCTCCCGGATCGGAAACCGGCGACTTTACAACTGACAACGTTCGCCTCACCGTAATCTTCAGCAGTGGATCGTTCTAATCCGCTCGATTGGCTCGCTCTTGGTTTTAGCTGCCTAAGTCTTTCCGAGGTCCGCTCGCTATCTCGGCCACAGCACAAGTGTCGGGCGCTGATCCTTCTGGGAGCACGCAGGGCTCGTTATCCCCGCGAGGGGGCCTTATCGCGCCTTATTGGCGCGTGGCTTCGCTAATCGTGGGAACCGCGTCATGCCCGTGTCATATATCCTGGCGCATGAAATTTGAGGGACCGCAGGATCTTCTCGGGCCACCTCGTGGCCTCAAAGCGTCTTCTCGGGGCTCTCGCCGTCTTTGGGGCGTAGAGTGGCCACCTGCATCTTGCCATTTCACTCCTCGTTCCGCCTGTTGCCTGTTCCGCCTGTTGGAAGATAATGCGATAAAAGGTATCTTGCGATAGCATAAAGGGCGAAATAATGAATGACATCACCTGCGTGCGACCCGGGGGACAGGGTGTCGTGCGCCCCGGCAAATCCGTTAGCAGCGGTCGTTACTCGACTTCCAGTCTTGGTCGTCTTCCTTCTTCTCTCTTCACGGTCCGGCGAGGCGCCGTCAATCTGCCAAGATCGTGGGAGTCGCCAGTTTCTATAACTCTCAGTACGGAAAAGCACAAAAAAAAAGAAACGAAATTGGTAACGCAAAACGCGTGAGACACACAAATAATGTCGCAAAAAAGCGCAGATGCGTCCGCCCCCTAAAATGTGGAAGGACTCAGGACGCTAGACTGTACTATTCGGCCGGGTCGTGCGACCATTGTAACGGACGGAATACGTCACGTCACAATGTTAATAATAGTGACAGGATCAAAATAAGAAATTCAAATTTTGCTACACCTCTGCGTATTAAATAATCTTAATATTAATCTTTACTACACACACTCCAAAAAAGTCCCTATCTATCCACATATGGGTGTATGTAACATTTTCTTTTGCTTATGTTTCAGATTGTAGTGCAGATTGATTTTAACAAATTTTTTTAAATCTATTGTTTGAAGATTGAAAAAAAATTTTTTAGTTATTGTAGAAAGTTTAAAATATAGCACAAAAGATATTTTGCAATAAGTGAAAATGGAAAAAAACATAAAAAAAATAAATTTTTTTCAAAACCTTATCTTTTTCAAAAATAAATGAAAAAAGATTTTATTAGTGATGAATCAACAGCTAATGAGTTGAACTTTAAGAAACTACAATGAGAGCAAGTCAATAAGTTTTTAGAAAAAAATAGTAAAACATTTTTTTTGAGCGATTCATTTTTATTTCTCAACATAGTCTCCTTTCAGCTCAATACACTTGATTCTCTAATTTTTTCAAGCCGTCCGAATAATATGATTTGTCCAACCCTTCAAAATAAGCCTTTGTTTTTGTGCGATGAGCTAGTGATTCACCATTCATAAAAGTAGGGCTCCGCGGGAGGTCTTCAGCATCTTCTCACTAGAGTTAGAGTGAGCTCGTCAAGGGCTTCTATTCTAGGATTAGATGTAACCCTGAAGTGAGCCCTCGGACCTTCACGTTATCCCGCAAAACGCGAGTCTTTGCATTTCCTCGCGGCGAGCTCGTTACCAGACCTTCGCGAAGCAGAGGGAATCTCTTTCGGGCCTCTACGGGAATTAGTTCCTGGCAACGAGAAGACACACTGCCGCGGAAGCGTCGCCGGGACCGTTCCGGTCTTCCTCGCATACACGAGAATTTATCGACGGAAAAGGCAGCAAGGCCGCTTGATCCTCTCTTCCCGTGGAGACTCATACTACTGGAGCTCCGGCAAAAGAACACCTCCGTCAGAGATCCGCGACGATAACCCGGCCTTCACAAGCAGACGAGCACGAGCACCCTGAGGCCGTCAGTACCGCCGTTTCCGCTGCCTAAAGCACTGCGGGAGTTAGAAATCGGGTTACCCGCTGGGTTGGTGAGTGACTCCCGCACAACCGAAGACACTGGAAAAGTAACAAAGGAAAAGAAAGAGGATTAACACGCCCACGGCTGTCACGGCAGTTCTTCGGGACCGACTTCGACATCGAGGACTCCGAGGAAGAAACATAACTTACACTAGCACACACATCTTACACGCGCCGCAAGGCGCCGCAATAATTTTCATAAATACCGCAAGGTACCTCTGTAACACATCGGTCAATAAGTCCCCGGTCTGACACATAGAGAGCGCCACTAACACAAAAAGTACATAGTGGTTCGAAAGAACAGACCCTTTTAGGCGTACTGTCAAATGTATATGTCATTCGGATCATTATTGTGTGAGTTATTGAAGCTTTAGTGACGCTAATTTGGTTATTTTCATAACAATGGAAAAAAAGGAATTTCGTGTGCTCATTAAACACTGCTTTTTGATGGGAAAAAACACCGTTGAGGCAAAACAGTGGTTGGACAAACATTATGGCACCTCTGCCCCAGGCAAATCAACAATTATCGACTGGTATGCTGATTTTAAACGCGGTCGTACGGACACCGACGATGCACACCGCTCTGGTCGCCCAAATGAGGCAGTTGTCCCCGAAAAAATCAAGCAGGTCCATAAATTGGTTTTGTCCGACCGTAAATTAAAGCTGGATGATATTGCTGACATCGTAAAGATATCCAAGGGAAGTGTTTTTACCATTTTACACGATCATTTGTCGATGCGGAAGCTGTGTTCGAAGTGGGTGCCGCGTTTGCTCACTGTGGATCAAAAACAACAACGCGTCGATGATTCCGAGAGCTGTTTGGCCATGTTTCAGAAGGATCGGAAAGATTTTTTGCGTCGGTATGTGACCATGGACGAAACATGGATTCACCACTTCACACCCGAGTCGAATCGGCAGTCAGCTGAGTGGACTGCAGCCGGTGAAAGCCGCCCCAAGCGACCAAAAACTCAAACGTCGGCCGGCAAGGTTATGGCATCTGTATTTTGGGATGCCCATGGTATCCTTTTCATTGACTACCTCGAAAAGGGTGGGCGCATCAATAGCGAATATTACATGGCACTACTGACGCGTTTAAAGGCCGAAATCGTCGAAAACCGACCCCATATGGCGAAGAAAAAAATCATTTTTCACCAGGACAATGCACCGTGTCACAAGTCGATGGCAACGATGGTTAAATTGAACGAGTTGGGCTTCGAGCTGCTCCCGCACCCACCGTATTCGCCAGATTTGGCCCCCAGCGACTATTTCCTATTCGCTGAGCTCAAAAAAATGCTCGCTGGGAAGAAATTTCGATCGGATGAGGAGGTCATCGCCGAAACTGATGCGTATTTTGAGGGTCAGCCAAAATCGTTCTACAAAACCGGCATCGAACGTTTGGAAAGGCGTTGGACTGATTGTATTGCCTTAAAAGGAAACTATATTGATGAATAAATTCGAATTTTTATGTAACACTTGTGTTTTCTTTGCTAGACCGGGGACTTATTGACCGATGTGTTATATAGTACTGAATAAAGAGAGATATATTTAATTTGTAGAACATCCTATAATTAAGCATACTCATATAATTAAGCAGACTCTTCCACAATAATAAATTTTAACCGAATATATTCCCTAATATATACTAATGATATTCTACTATTCGGTCGGATAGTGCCGTATAATACCAGATATTTAAACAATATTACAGTAATATTTTAATGCGATATATTATATTGTAATATTTGAATAATATTGTGATAATATTATATTACAATGTATCACACTGCAATATTTAGACAACATTGTAGTAATATTGCAGAATGATATTGAGATATCACATTGTAATGTCTCAACAAAATAATTGCAATATTATATTATGATATATTTCAGTAGTATAATATTACATTGCAAGTTGTAATATACAACTGTAATATTGTAATCTTACTGCAATATTATACGCTATGTGGGTCAATAATTGCTCAATTATTGATGCAATATTTACCCAAATCTCAACGTTTTTATCATGTATATAAGGAAGCCATTTCTTCGTTATCGCATTCAAACTAAATAACTATATGATTTGAATAAGACAGGATACTTTTAAAATTATAAAAAAGTATAAAAAATTTGTAGAGGAAAATAGTTTAAAGTATCCTTGGCAGACAATGTATGTTGGATTCCACTTCTTTTTATAAAAACACAAATTATTTTCTATGTATAATAATTTTGTTTTTACAGTAGAAAATTTGTTTTTAAAACAGATAATTTTGTATTTTTGAAGCAAATAGATACCTAACCAAAATAAATTTTCTACTGTAAAAACAAAAATTATGTAAAAAATAATTTGTATTCTTAAAGCAAAGAATGTGTTTTAAAGCAGAGAATTTGTGTAACTAAAATTTGTAAAATTAAAGAAAAAATTTATTTCAGCCTCACTTATGTGGTCCTCTATGTCATCGATGTGACAGATTTCCTAACCTAAGTATTCATACAGCACAGAAAGATTGCAGAAACATTGCAGAATGATTTAATTAATACATTGCAATATTACGTGATGGTTGCGAAACGTTGCTGAATCATTCTTGCAAAATTCCAACAATATTAAGATGTCCGCTTTTTGTTATGCTATTGCAACAAAACATTCCAGCAATATTGCATTGTAATGTATTTGGAAAAATTTTTGACAAAGACTCTAAAATGAAAACTATTTCTATACATACTCGTATATCTCACTAACTTTAATTTTTCTACATATCGCATTTCTAGTGATATGTGCTTTCCAAAAGTAATTTTTTATGATAAAACCATAAAATATTCCAATGAATATGATTATATCCAAATTCAATATTATATAATCTTTTGAAAGTAATCTAAGACGTAATATAGATCAATACATTTTTTATTCAAATATAAAATAATTTATATTAATCATTATTATATCATAAAAGCGGCTGTTAAAAAGATTTTACTATTGTACATAAATACGAGTATTGTAAAAACTTATATTTTTATATTATTATTATTATAACAATTAAAGAATTATAGTTTTGCAATGTTTGTAGAATATTACAAGCATATTACTGACATTTTGCAGGCACGTTGTTAATTTACATTTCTGTAATATCTCTGCAATGTTACATTGCAATCTGCAATATTGCAACATTGCAGGAATATTGCTTCAATCTTCTGTGCTGTATGGGTAGTCATTAATTTTAACGATTGATACCTCGGTCCACGGGGCAGAGCGACATTTCTTCTGTCAGATTCGTTCATTTTGTGCGACGAATGAGCTTAATTGTATCAACATCGGAGGTGAGGAGGCTAAATTCAACATTTATCTATTTATTACCGAGACACTCAAACCGACTTTATTAATCCTGAGTGCGTTTCAAAACCTAACTGCAGTAACCTATAAAACTCTATAATTAACATCAATTAGAGTTTTGATTACCATAGTTATGTTTTAGAAGGTAGCCCATATTGTATTGAACCGACCGAGACATTACGATACATATCGCAATGCTCGTTGATCATGTATTATTTTTACGCGAAAACGCATTGGCTGAAAGTATTTTTATAAATAATTTGAGATAACCAGGTTATTTATATAACTTCAGTTACAATTGCCACTTGCTCAACTCCTCCGCGATCGCGTGACAGTAAACTTCACTTATAATCTCTGCAGAGTGTAAAATGTGTAAAATGTGCAGAAATGTTGCAGCGCTCGCAACGCTCGCTGATCATATATGAAAAAATAAAAGCACATTGGGTAAAGTTGCCGAAATCGCACCGACTTCTAAATCACACTATTTCGCTTAAAATTTTAATTATTGTATTCATATACTTTTTCACGAATTATTTAAGAACTACATAATACTGTAATGTTACTCCGTTATACTCATGATTAAATAATAGGAGTTATTATTTACATAAATAAAAAAGTCGTGATATTATTGCTATTTTTCAACGTATTTTATAACAGAATTACGAAAAATATAAATTAAATAGCTTAAATTTTGATATAATAATTTGTCGTGATTAGACTATTATTGAAATTAAATTAATAGAGTCAAAGTTTGCCTTACATTTTTGTTTATTAAAATGCTTCAAATAAATAAAAGTTTTAAAAGTGCTCTAGTTTCCTAAATTACACCGTACTGTAATTTCCTCAATCGCATCTCAATTTAACCTTTTAAATTGCATGATGCTTAATATTTTCACATTTCTTACATTTTTATTTCATTTATTATTATATAAAAATGTATATTAGAAACCTATGAAGTGCTTATTTTGTTTCACATCAAAACTTCTTAAATTATTTCTTGAAATTATGAAATATATATTCTTAAGTTTTAACAGCATAATACCAGGTGTACAAGTATGAAATGCGGATTTGAGAAAACAGATGGCGCATCAATGCAGTGTGTAGTATAAAGATTTGATTGTTATGCCATTTTGAAGTGCCAACAAGTGTCAGACGCGCACGAGTGATAAATTGAAAAAGTGTTTGCATAGTGTTGTGTTGCTGTGTTCGATATGTCGAAATTTATACCAAACAAAGAGCATTCGCGGACAGCATTAATTTTTTGTTTTCATTTGAAGAAAACTGCTGCTGAATCATACCGATTACTTCGAGAAGCTTATGGTGAACATGCTCCATCGCAAGATACGTGTGAACAATGATTTCGGCGTTTTAAAAGTGGTGACTTCGATGTTGCAGACAAGGAACACGGAAAACCGCCAAAAAGGTACGAAGATGTGGAATTGCAAGCATTGTTGGACGAAGATGATTCACAAACACAAAAACAACTCGCAGAGCAATTGAGCGTTAGTCAACAAGCTGTTTCCAATCGCCTACGAGAGATGGGAAAGATTCAGAAGACCGGAAGATGGGTACCGCATGAGTTGGACGGCAGGCAGATGGAGAGGCGCAAAAACACATGTGAAATTTTGCTTGCACGATACAAAAGGAAGTCGTTTTTGCATCGTATCGTTAGTGGGGATGAAAAGTGGATTTATTTTGAGAATCCCAAGCGCAA